CGCCCTCCTCGTCGGCCCTGCGTCCCCAGCGTTCGAGCACGTCGGGATGCACGGGCGCTTGCGAGCGTTGGAAACCGGCCTGTAATTTATAGAGAGGCCCGGGCGCGGGGCGCGCGGCGTGGGGACCGTGCGCACACTGACACGGGCTCTGTGGGCGCTGCAGCGGTTTCGCTGCCGCAGCCCCGCCTTGCGTGGGCGACACAGAGCGACCTGTGCGCGCAGGTGTCCCCGCGGCGCTGCCGTCGGCTCCCGCCGGCTCCTCTCCTCCGAGGGCCTCCAGGAGCTGAGGGCACCGCGCGCTGCAGCACCCCAGCCCCCGCCCGGCCCTGCCGCCTCATTAAGCCGCTGCGCGGCCAGTTTACCGGGCTTTGCAGGGAAGAAACGGGGGGGCGGGGGCTTTACCCAGTCTGGACACCGGTGTAAACAGAAACGTGGGAAATGGGGTAGAAACCGGAGACATATATAATGGTGGGCGATGCGCCGGTACGGTAGAACGGGCCAGGTCTGGCGCGAACGCGGGCAGACTCCTGGGCTGCAGACGCGGCTCGCGCGGGGTCGGGAGCGCGGCTGGTTTGACCCGGAGAACCGAGCTGTGCGCAACTGGCGAACCCAGCAGGCGGCCACGCCCGTCCAGGCTCAGGACACTTCAGCTCGCAGAATAAACACCGGAGAGCTTGGATGAACGGATGAATAACCTTCTGGCCACAAATAACGGTGATCAGATTGCGCTGGCCAATTCTTATGAGGAAACTCAATCAGTATCTGAGCGGTGTCCCATACCATTTATATTTATGCACGGTAAACCTTCAGCTGGCTAGACACTAAACTGCAGGCCTGCCAAGTAGGCATGTTGGCTATTTTACTTTTTAAAGATCAAGTTAAAATATGGGAGATGAGAGGTTATCTTGGTCAGGCAGTTTACTCAGTATCTTTCAGGAAGAACAGCTCCTTGCCCTGTGGTAGTGAACTTGACATCCACAGGCGAATTTGTCTGGTTAAGATCTGAAATTCCAGGGTCACTGTTAGGAAACTTATTTCACTTGGAGTTTATTTCATCAAACACACTTCCTTTAAAAAGACATATGGGTTTGTCTAGCAAAATTAAATTTGACTCATAACTAGTGTGAGTTTTAAACTTGACCTTCTTTAATTTGCACTGGTCAGGAAATTTGCTTTTGGTTTATAGGTGAAAGGGGGCAGGAGCTGGGGGAATCGGAGGCCTTTTATTTGGGGTTCTCAGTAAGTTCCTGAGGAGCACAGGCTTGAAGGGCCCGGGGCTCCGGCGCCCGCAGCAGGTTGCAGCACCCCTGCTCGGCCCAGGCAGGGGCGT